TTGTTCTAAATGTTTCATATGAATTCATATCAGTGCTTTGATTTTGTTTGTAATTGGAGTTATTGTGAATTACTTTGAGTCCTGTAAAGGAGTATAATTGAGTCAATTCGCGAAGAGCGTTTTCTTTCGGATAAGAGGGTAAAAAAATTGTTCCGGTATTGAACGATTTTTTTTGTTTAGGTCTGTAGGTTTGTATGTTAAATCAGAGGGTTTATCAATTATTCGATATGGTTTTTTTCGGAGTGGTTGTAAGTTTTTAGAAATTCCTTTTTGTGTTGATAAGTTTGGAATTAAAAGGTATGTTCCGATCTTTAAATTTTTAGCTGGGTTAAATCGGGAAATTTTTGGGGAATCAATCGTTTGTCTCTGCAACAATTATTTTTTAATTTCTCGTTTTTTTTTATCTCTGTTTAAAATTTATTCGGTGTGTGTACCGGAAGCTAATTTTAGATTTTGTGGATGATGAAAGTGATCTTCATCGAGGGTATGTGGTGGTAGATTGTAACATATTGATTCCTTAGTGGGTTGACAATAGCCTTGTGTATTTTTTGAAGAGTTTGCGGTGAACATTATAGGTTTCTGTGGTTTTTGGTTGAAAACCTTTTCAAAGGGTGATAGTCCTAAGGTTGTTGTGATATGTGAATTATAAGATAGTGGGAATAGTTTTACATCTGTTGACCATTCAGTATATCGTGGGTCATTTCCGTTAATGATACATCTAAGATATTATTGTAATGAACGGTTCATGCCTTCGACTAATCCATTAGTCCAAGGTGCGTGAGATGTACATGGTTTGTGTTTAATGTTGTATAAGTGGCATAGTGTAAAGATTTCGTTATTTATAAATTCAGTGCTATTATCTGTAACAAGGATTTTGGGTAAACCGAATTTTTCTATCCAGTGTTCATAAAGTGTTGTAAATGCATAAAAAGCCTGACAATAAGGTACTGGGTTAATTGCTACATAGTGTGTGAATGCATCTATTATGACCATTTTATATGAGTTTCCTTCTGAGGATGGTGATAATTGGTCCTTTTGTATTGAATGAAATTCTGTGATTGAAATTTAGACTTTGTCCTTCAAAATCATGTTTTTCTGCGATTTGTTTTTGGTTTGGGTATGGTTTGCTTAATTGACATATTATGCAATCGTTGCATAATACTTTTAGTCAAATTGGTGCGTTTGGGAAATAAAAATTTTGTAAGAAATTTGAGTATGTTTTTTCTGCTCCTGAGTGTCCTTTAGTTTGTAAAGAGTGAGAGGTATAAAAAGGTATAAGCATAATACTTAAAGGTAGGCAGGGTACTTTGATATCGGATGTTTGGTATTCTAGGATATCTGTGTTTTCGTTGATAGAGGTATTGTTAAATGTTCTGAAATATCTAAGAAGGTTTCTGTTTCCTAAATTGGTGATAGCGGCTGTAATTGGCTTGTTTTTATATTTGTGCCAAGATTTTAAATGTTTCTGTAATAATTCGAGTGTTATTTTTTCTGATATTGGAAAAAAATTGTTTTCAATTTCTACTACTTGTGATAGAGGTACTGTATCTAGTGGTTCATGAAGTTTAAAAACATGGTTTATTGTAGATTTTGAGTCATTATTTGGTGGGCTGATAAATGTATTTTATCAGTGAGATTTTCTTTTTCTTTTAAAGGGATTAGATCTTTTTTATATAATTTTTGTTTGATTGGTTTTTGCTGTGTGTTGTTTTTTATCCATGAAAAGTATGGTATCGGTTTGAAAGTAGATTTTCCTAGAAAGTCTAATTCGTAGTGATTGTTTTGACAATCTAGATATAGTGGAAAACGTTCTAGATTATTTATTTGTGATTGGTCTATGTTAGTTTTTATTGCATTTTTGCATTGTAATCTTGGGGAGGTTTCCTTTTTTGCAAGAAAAAGTTTTATAATTTGTGGTTTTTCAATTGTTATTTTTCTTGTTAATAACACTTCTTGTTAAAATTATCTGAAATCTATAAACCCTATGGTTTGGGTTTGATTTTCGTGTCAAAAGAAAGATTATTTGCTTATGGTCTGTAAGTAAAATTTTTGGATGTTTAGATCCAAGTATTAAAAATTCATATTCTATAGGTGGATATATTATGGCTGTGCATTCTCTCATAAGAGTAGAGAGTCTAAGTTCAGCTTGTGTGAATGGCCTAGAGTTTGCGGAAATGACGTACATTTTATTTGTTCATTGTGAGATTGTAATAATGATGCGCCGATGCCAAAACTTGAGGCGTCGCACATGGCATTAATTGGTTGATCGGGATCTGGAACAGTGTTTGATAATTGTTCTGTGAGAAGAGTTTTTCTTTCTTCAAATCGTTTCTGATGTTCTGTTGTCCATTCAAAATTATTCTGCTGTCTAAGGATGTTGTAAAATGGTCTTGAGTATAGCTGCAGTTTGTATACGTATTTACTTAAGAAGTTTAACATTCCAAAAAATTCTTGTATTTTCTTCTTATTTGAAGGTGGTTGGAGTTTTTGGATTGCATCTATGCGAGATTTTAATGGAGTTATAGCGTTGCTTTCTATAATATTTCCAAGGAATTTTACTCGTGTTAGAAAAAAGTGTGATTTATCTGGGGCTGCTTTCATGTTTTTTTTTTGTAATAATATTTGATGATATTTTTTAAGACAAGGAACATTTCGTCTTTTGTTTGTCATAAAAACATCGTCTAAATATGTGATTGCATTTTTATTGAGTATTAAAGGTCTGAAAATTTTTCTCATTATTGCTGAAAATGCTGCTGGTCCTATGAAAATTCCCTTGAATAATCTGTTAAATTCATATTGTTGATTTCCAATAACGAGTTGTGTTAAGCGTCTGGATTGTTCCTCTTATGGTTTTTGATTATATGCACTATTAATATCTGCTGTTGTGAAATTTTTACCATTTCTTTTTTTGTGAGAAATACATGAATTGGTTCAATGGGCCAATTACATTTAGATTCATCAATGAGTGAATGGAGGTATCTTGCATCTAGAACTGTTTTTAAAGATTCTCCTTTTGCTAAAATGATAACGGGGCTTATGAATGTGTTTCCCTTTGGCTGTTTTTCTTTTTTTACTGGAGAGATGATTTCATATTGTTCTAGTGTTTCAAGTAATTGGTTGACTTTGTCTTGCAAGTGAATTGGGACTTTACTTACTCGTTGTTTTTTGAAAAATTAATCAGGTTTTAGAGGTAAATGTAATGGTGAATTTACTTTTCCAACATCAAATTTAGATCTTGCGTAAACTTTTGGGTATTTTAAATTTCTTTTGTGGGAAAAATGTTGCGTTCGTTTCACAATAACCTAAGAGTCCTAGAGGTAGGGTTTTTTATATGGGGAATTGTTATATATGTGTAAAGAAATCGTATCAGAGTTTGTGTCTTTCATGTATTTGATAGATGAAATTGTTTTTCGGAAAAATTCATGAATTGGTCTGAAATCAAAGTCAGACATAAAGAGATGCTGTTTATTCTGTTCTTTATCGTATCATTAAACTTGTTTGATTGAGAATTTATAAACAATTCCTGATAGTGGTTTCAGGTGTTTCCGTTCCTGATTGTATATGGGGTGAAATTTAGAAAAAAATGGTGGTTGTTTGTTTATTCTTTGAAGAAATGTCAAAGCTGTGTTTTTCATACTTGTGTATTTATCTTTTATGTGAATTCTGCTATTTAAGATATGTAATAAATGATATTCCAATGATATTATGTTTTATATCTGTGATGTGAAAGGTTTGTTTAAGTGGTTTGCTCATGAGTTTGTTTTGTTCCATTGTTCGAGTGGGAACAAGGAAAAGTTAGATTTTTCCATAATTTGTTGATCCTTGTGCGGTTGCTAGTCTGCTTGTTGTTTTGAAGGGTATTAATTTAAGGACGAGAATTTTTTTTTCATTCCAAGTGGGAATGTTGATGATATTTGATTCTGCTCTGGAATCTATTAAAAAATCTATTTCATGGTCTGGTGTTTGGAATTGTTTGGATTTTGGACTTTCTA